CTTCAGGTTCACTACGTTCTGGAATTCTATATAAATACCTAGTTATAAGCAAGTAGTGTTAAGTATGAATGCATTATTTACAGTTTTTCATTCTAGACGTCGCAATCGGCATTCTGTATAACATGCATAGCTGTAAGTAACTGTTTGTTTGTAATTAAGCACAATGGGCTATCTGTGCTCTGCCCACCACGGATATCGAAACCCGGATTCTAGCGTTGTAAGTCCGCAGACATACCGCTGTGCCACGGGGGAAGGGCGTAAGTAACAGTGAGAAAATAGAATCATTTACATGTGACCATGTAATCTTAACAACAACGATTAACAACATTTGATTATCGAGAGAGTCACACAATGACTGTAATACGTTTTGTTCTTACTTTTCAAAAGTAGTTAAAATTCATCTCAAATTTTCATAAAGCTTTTTTTCACGAAATGCTTTTTTTTTTACATGGTTGAAATTAATGAAAACTTCCTAAACGTTTTCAACTGGTATTTTCTCTTACTCAGCGTAATAACTAAAACATTTGTCATCTTGAGAAATTATTACAGTTGATTTTTTAGTTCAGAACAATCACTATCAATAAGTAGGTCACCGGCTGTAAATGTTTTCTTAAGACTTATCGCACTTTCAATATTACGACACTTGGAAATTCGTTGGGAATAGGAGAACTCTAGGTAATGTATATTCTCGCACTAGAATATTCATCGCACTTGTCCCCACAGACGATGTATGATTAAATCATAAGTATCCTTTGACGTTTGAAGTAAATCAAATCTGATATGTATTAATACCCGTACGTTGTTAAACTGTACATTCAATCCAATATGTTCATTTGGCTGCTCTGTCCTTACTACCATAAGTGATTACTTCTTACAGAGAGTCGTGAATGTATTGTTAAATAATGTTAATTTCAAGATGGACGCCATTTATCACGTTTTCGAGACAAAGTACGGTAAGCGTCTGTAAAACTGAAAGTAATTTTTCAAAGACATAGGGAGAGTTTTAGAGATTTTGAGTGATTTGTCATATGGCTAAAAATTAGAGATGTGTATCAATGAATAGTTTTGAACCCAGAGCTTATTATAATACATTACAACTATATTAAAGCCGCTGTGGTGAGAGTAGTTCCAAGATCAGTTGTAAGAAAATATCATAGAAACTATTAAATGGAAACAAAATTTGTCTTTCAATTAACTATTATTTGTGATGTTTTTTTTTCTCCAATGTTCTTTAGAGTGTTATCACAAACTTAAGGGCCCGGCATGGCCAGGTGGTTAAGGAGCTTGACTCGCAATCTACGGGTCGCGTGTTGGAATCCCCGTCCCACCAAACATGCTCGCCCTTTCAGCCGTGGGGGCGTTATAATGTGACGGTCAATCCAACTATTCGTGGGTAAAAGAGTAGCCCAAGAGTTGGCGGTGGGTGGTGATGACTAGCTGCGTTCCCTCTAGTCTTACACTGCTAAATTAGGGACGGCTAGCGCAGATAGCCCTCGTGTAGCTTTGCGCGAAATTCAAAACAAACAAACAAACACAAACTTAAGTGATTAATTGTAAATACATAAGGTCGAACCAATACCTTTATATCGATATAACACAAATTACAGTACAGTTCAGCTTTTTCAAGTACATGTAGTTATAAACGTTTTTACCAACAGAGTCTAATGATCTCATTATGTTTCGTCTCATGGAAGTCTTGTTACGAGAAACATTACTTAAGATGAAAGGTTCGTCAGAAACATAATAGTTTGTTAAGGTTGTGAGTTATATAGATTTAAAATAATGTTATATTTGTTATTATACAATACTTCTAATCCTTCATATCATTAAGGTAATGAACATTTTTAAAATGATGTTGCTTGTAATAAAATTAATTCACAATTTGCGTTAGTATTAGGTCGTCAGGATATTAATGTCGCGTTTTGGAACACTTTCATTGACCCTCCCTCCAAAAAAGGAACATCACGTATAATAGTTAAACGAACCGCCTAAACGTCACGTTAGTGTAACCTATATAATCGGTAAAGTTTAGTATACTCTAATCCCTTATAGTGATGGCACATGACGAGATACACATGCGGCATGTTAAGCTGTTCGAATACAAGAAGAGAAACAGCGCCTCTGTCGCCACAAATAATATCAAAGAAGTTTAGGGAAATGTTTTGAACGTTTTTAAGTGTAAACGATGGTTCAACGAATTTCGTTCAGGTGACTTTAGCCTTAAAAAGTGTTATGGCAGGGGCCGACATGTTGGAATTGATGTTGATGCCTTGAAGACTCTTGTTGAGTCTAACCTAATGAAACACACTCGTGAAATGGCCCTGAAATTGCACGTCTCTCATAAAACAATATGTAAATATCTAAGGAATGTGGAAAACTCCATAAAGAAGGTGTTTGGGTGCCTCACGAAATATCCGATTATCATCGCTTCCAACGTGTGATCGTCGCTTTATCTCTTCTGGCGCGTAATGCGCGTGAACCATTTTTGGACAGAATTGTCACCGGTAATGAAAAACGGATTCTCTATGCGAATATTAAACGCCAAAAACAATGGCTCAGTCCTAATAAAACTACTT